GATTTTACCTCATTGTCAATCAGTTTGACAGTAACAAAGACAATATCATAAGGATTTGTTACTTTTGAAAGTACCAAATGTTTCTTTGTTTCACTGCCTACACTGTAGACAGGAGTCAATAAATTAAATGTATTTACATCATTTTATCTCGACATCCTCCAAAAGGTGGATACATTTCTTCAGTGGAAAAAAGTGGAGGGACTCTGTGGCAATTTAGTGAAAAAATAATCCTGATTTTTTTTTCTTTTTATTGGTTTGATGTAAAAAAGATCATCACTTCCATCTGATCCTGAGAGTCAAAAATCTGACAAAAACAAATCTCACAAAACTTCTACGTAAACTAGAAATGCAATTTCTCTACTCAATAGAGACTCTTAGGTAGATAAAGAACTTTCTTTCTCCGTTCACGCTCAGTCAGCCACACACAACATGCTGAAACACAGACTCACACAGTGTTTCCTCGAGCCAACCCACTTCCAACAACAACAACAAAATCCTAAAAAAAAAAGTGTCTTCATTTTACGAGTTGCATTGTTCAAAAACTGTTTTATGGCTGGTTTTGGGATTGAAAAGAGTTTTTTATCTTTGGGATTTGAAACGCTGAAGAAGTGGGATAAAGCACAGAGAGAGATGTAAAGGCTTGGAAGTGCAGAGTTTTCTATGAGGAGGAGTTCCTGCACAAAACTGAACGAGGTCTTTCACTGAGTGGAAGCAGAGCCGGAGTGAAAACATGTCTGAGTCCATCTTGCAAAGCTAAAGGTTTTTTTTTTTGTTTGTTTTTGCAATCTTCATCCCTGCTCCTCAACTGGCAGCCAGCTGACTGCCAGCCACAGGAAAAAAGCAACACTGAGATTAAATCAGACCTCTGAACGTCGCAGGAGAAAAAAGAAGTTCTTTATAAAAAAAAAACATTAAAAAGGTGCGTTCCTCAGAGATTCCACCCGTCTGTTTAAGCATCTGTGAGAAGARGAGACACAGTGTAAGGATTTAGGCCTAATGAGTGATGGTGAATTCAAAAACTGTAAAAGATACTCACCTCTACATTCATATTTGAGGTCTGAGAAGTATACCATCTCTTGTGAGAAGACAAACAGACCCAGCCTGCCGCCTGCGTACGTCTTATCATAAATGGTTCCAGAATCTGCCATGATCTTTTTCCCCTCGTACATCACAACTCTGTGGAGGGACACGTTAGAACTGATGAGCTAAATCCTTCAGCACATTTAAACCCTTCAGCTGGCTCTTCATAAAGTGGAACTGCAACGCTTTAGTCTGATTTCCTCCTTATTGCAACTCCACAAGCCCCGCCCCTTTTCTGAGCTGTGTCTCAGATCAACTCGTTTTGAGGCTGCCTCTTTAAATCAAAACAAGAAGCTTCACACCCCGCCCCCCTCCAGCTTCCAGAGCRGTCCATTCTASTTTTATAGAGGGGTTTACGACTATATAGCTGCGCAGAATCTTTTTATTTACAAACTAACTTAAAGATGTCATAAAATAAACTGAACMGGTTGAAAAATCAGACCCAAACAGAATATAAAGATATCTACACAGCACCAGGAGAGATTCAATTAAAACACAACAAAATCTATTTAACGGCAAAAACAGTGCATTTATCATTTGTGTCTGTTAAACAGATCCCTGATTATTTGTAACATTAGACTTTATTTGATAAACATTTATTTTAACTGTAAAATAAAGACTGTAAAAATACTGTAGGATGTTTAGTTTTGTAAATTTTTAAAAACATATTTTAGCACGGACAGGGCCATTTTATTTACACGCAAAGCATTCTGGGTAAATGATGACGTGGATAGGTCCTCGGTGCGAGGCTGCTAGCGAGCTATATCCACCCTGAAGGTTAATCTTGGACAATATCTGATGATCGACTCTTTTAAATGAAACCAGAGAGCGTTGACAGAGAGGAGAAGGTAGAAATGACTCAGCCTGGAACTGAAAATATGGATGGAGGACAACAGAGCTGCTTCATGGAAGAACAACCTCAGCTTAGCCTGTTAGCCTTTGTGCTAGCGCCGACGCTATATTGCCTTATGTGTTAGATCAGTGCTAGTGCAACAAACAARCTAAACTGAGGTCCTCCATCCATATTTTCAGTTCCAGGCTGAGTCATTTCTACCTTCTCCTCTCTGTCAACGCTCTCTGGTTTCATTTAAAAGAGTCGATCATCAGATATTGTCCAAGATTAACCTTCAGGGTGGATATAGCTCGCTGGCAGCCTCACATCGAGGACCTATCCACGTCGTCATTTACCCAGAATGCTTTGTGTGTAAATAATATGGCTCCATCCGTGTAATATATTTTTTAACTTTTAGTTTAAAAATTATAAAAACTATACAGTATTTTTACAGTCTTATTTTACAGTTAAAATATATGTTTATTAWATAAAGTGYAATGTTACAACTAATCATKWTTCCTTTTTAAAGTCAGCTTTGCAAAAATAATATATTTGTGGAGGTTTGTTAATTTTCTCTGCCCACCTGATCAGCCCTGTTCTCGGCCTGTGGATCAGATGCCACCTGTAGGCGGTGAAGTCTTTCCATCCAACATTCTTTGGGTCGTGCCACAGAGTGCGGACCTGCCAACATAAGGATCAGTGAGTTAAACCGGTTCACACTCTCCTAATTTACAWATCTGAGTCTCTCACAGACTGATCCAAACGTAGCACACCTGTCCTGGGGTGTTGCCTGTGTGCCAGAGGGCGTTCCTCAGGTGCTCTCCGGGGCCAGTGGTAGAGTTCACCACTTTGATGGACAGGCCTGAGTAGCCCTGGGCTTTGGTGGGTTTACTGGACCAGTAGGTTTGCGTGATCTGCTTCCACATCACTACGTAGAACCTGGAGCTGGACTGGTACCCGAACACGAAGCCGGCGTAATCGTCGTCCCTCTCTGTGTTGATGAAGAAAGTCCCGCTGAAGTCCACGGCGTTGAACTCGTGGTAACCTGTGGAAAACAAAACGAGACAAAGGAGATTGTAAATCYGGGTCTGACCTGAGCTTATCTGGTGCCCCAGGCAAGATTTCAGGTGGAGCCTCTAAGTCTTACCACCAATTCACACACGTTCACCAAGTTAAATAGGWTTTATCTTTAGAAACCAGTTTACCAATTCAAATAGTTAACAATATAGTTCATTTGAAACAGAATATCTGCTGACATCATGAGGAACACCTGTTTGTTGATGAGCAGCTGTGGACTGAGCAGTTCTAGGGGGGTTCAGGGGTATACTCCCCTGGAAAATGGGTTAGAAGATCTTTTCAAAACTCTGCATTTTCCAGTCATTTGAGAAGCATGTGAATAAGTTGTTTGGTTTTAACCTAATCTCGACTTTAACCTGAACTTTATCTGAGATCAGAATTAAAACTTTCATCTTTATTTTGTTTTCTATTTCCACACTGAGCACCAGGAGTTCATCTTGACTGCAGCATATAACCTCATGTAAAGCAGCTAGTAGCAGGTGACAAATAAAAACAGTATCTAAATTAGTGCCATTTCTCTGCATAGTAGGGCTTGCCACTTCATAAAAATGCTCCTGATGCCAATTTTGCATGAAGCAACACTTTACGAGTTTGTTTGACAGTTTGAGTGAAATACAGCTTTTGTTCTGTTCTCATAAAACTTGCAAAGCGCAGTGCATTCTGTTTGCTTACCAACAGCAATGCCAGGATCACAGTTGACAGTCTGAACCAGCTCCTTGCCCTGGTGGCGAACCACCCAGTTGGGATCAATCTGGGAGGTGCCTTTTGGATCCAGAGGAACCATCTGGAACTTGCGGAAGTCTGTCTGGCTGATGTCGAAGTTCTCAGGACACACGTCGTAGATATCGGGCACGTTGTCTTTGTCGAAATCGTACATGCAAGCATCCCCACGGCCATCCCCTGAAACACAAATTCATGAATACCGAAGCAGTATTGACGCTCTCTAAGATGTGTTTGAGACTTTTCTGACCATCGGAGTCCAGCTGGTCAGGGTTGAAGGCCAGTCTGCAGTTGTCTCTTTCATCGGGGATGCCATCGTTGTCGTCATCGTGGTCACAGGCATCTCCCTTGCCATCTTTGTCGTGGTCCGCCTGGTTGGCGTTGGGGATGTAGGGACAGTTGTCCAGATTGTTCTGGTGTCCGTCCTCATCGATGTCCTGGTTGCTATCACACTTGTCTCCCACGCGGTCATCATCTGAATCCAACTGCAAATAAGACAAATCCAAATTAAAGGAGACAAAATTCACTTGTTGTGTACTTGGAGTCTTTAGGAGTGAAAAGTATGACATTGCAAGTCTACTTTATATAAACTTTAACTGAATGATTTTAAATGGGGAAAAGAAGGATTTTAAAGCAGGATGCTTTCTTTAAGGCCTAATTAAAACTTCACAAGACTGTTGCTTTTCTAACTTTTGTTTTTTTCCAGTTTGAGCTCCGGTTTCTGCAGTGCTACCMAGCAGGTCTTTGCTGCACAAAGAGTAGGTGCAAGGAGGAGTTGAAAACGCAGAATTCCTCATTTTAAAAMCCTTTTCACAATATTAAACATGTGCATCCACTTTTAGCCTTTGATGTACCCGTCCCCTACCAGACTCTCTCCTGTTTCTCGTTGTTCCACACATTCCTGTTTCTCAGTGTTGTGTGGCACAGGTGGACTGAGCGGGCCTGTGCTGGGTCGAAGGGACATGCACACACCCCAGGGCCAGCCCATTCCTCTGTAAAATCCAGCCTAGGGCCTCTTTCCTCACATTAGCCAGCTAACGTCAATGGGCTATTGAAAAGACCCCTTAGCCCCCCCACCACGCCTTATTGAACTAATGTGCCCTTGAGCTGCATGCAGGATTTGCTCCACCATTACATGGCGTGATAAGGCTTAGACAGCTACACAGGGCTAATCACCGAGGCTCTGTCTCAATTGAAAGACAGATATATGCTGAGCTGGAGAAAGACCGGCAGCTGAATGTGGATTATTGTTGTTGGGTGAGGCGGAAGGAAATGGGCAGGGGTGTATGAGTGTGAGTGTCCACACACCTGATCGGGATTATGCTCCAGAGGACAGTTATCGCACATGTCTCCCACCCCGTCCAGATCTGTGTCCTTCTGGTCAACATTGTATACATAAGGACAGTTGTCCCTCTCGTTCAGGATTCCTGAAAAGACAGCATCGATTGTAGTGGTGATCACTTCACAACAGACGCAACATTTGAGAGTCTTTTTAGCTTACCATCTCCATCGATGTCCACGGCGCATGCATCTCCCTCCCCGTTGTTGTCTGTGTCGGTCTGGTCCGGGTTGCTGTTGTAAGGACAGTTGTCACAGCGGTCGCCCACATCATCGCGGTCATAGTCGTACTGCCGGGGGTTGTACACGAACGGACAGTTGTCCTGTTTCAAAGAGGGAAAGATGAGGAGCCAGGTTTTCAGGTGCGTTTTCTGTCTGAACCTGTCCGTTTACAAGGAGCTAGCCACGCGGGATGAAAAGGTTCTTTATCTTCAGGCCCTGTCCCCATTCTGATGTCGGGATTAGTGTCAAACAATGGAGCTCCTTTCTCTATCTCAGCACTGGAATGTAGGGTTTTGGCTCAAACTAATGAGAAACGTTTGCTTTCCGGCCGAGTCCCACCTCCCTGTTTTTACTGGAAGGTGTGAATGATGAATCTATTATCTCACACACACACACACACACACACACACACACACACACACACACACACACACACACAC